ACATCATCACCCGGACGGAGGCGTGGCGAACCCCGTCTGTATCAGCTAACGAAAGGGTATATCACCTCGTAAAGGGCGATAGAAGCCCGACCAATACGGTTGACCGATGATGGTGACTGTAGCGCGTGTGGTTAACCATTGTCTCTCTGTTTACTTTCCCGTTGCTGTTGCTAGATTCACATTATGCCTTCATCGAAAATGTCGGAACTTTATTTATTTATTTATTTGCAAATTGCAACATGGCAATACAATGTTGCCGCCAGGCAGCTGATAGCTGATATTGCGACATCATATACAAATATATGTCGGAACTTGAAATGTAGACATTTCTCAGTCTTAGAACTGAAACGCCACACAGATTTGTGCTTCGTACAGGAAGGTTCAGACTACACAGCTCTGTGTGCGGACAGTGACCCTTAAGCTTGTTTTCCTAACCTCTTTTCTTACCTCCGAGGTCAACTGTCCCAATATTTGAATATGCACAATGACGTCATCAGGACACTCTGACCAACAATTTTAAAGGCCTTTAAAGTACGAATCTTCTCTTTAACACTGTGTTATGTGTATGTATACCTTTGAAGTACCGCTGAAGGTACTACTTTGTCAGCAAATGATAATAAAAGACGTAAAATATGTTGTTAGAGGACAAGACAAGTCTTCCGGGGGTGACCTAACAACATTCTTGAGTTATTTAGGTCGCGTGAAGCACATGTCTGCCCTCATGCGCCGAGCACATGGTCCCGGACCACGCTGGACTACATGTGTACGGCAGTGCCCAGGGCCACTACTGTCTAACAAATTGATTGAGAAGATTGTGACCTTCTTCCATGTTCCGTATTCTGACATCTGTACTATAATGGATACTGTCTTGCCTATTGGATACTCTCTTGTCTGTCGGTTCCGACTTTTCCACCAAAAGATCTGCGATTGGTGATAAAGGAAGTTCGGTTGACGTAAGGTTGGTAGAACTATACTTACGCCTTGTGTTATCATGTAAAGATTAACCACACAGAACTCATCTAGATAAGACATAAGTAATGGGCTCGGAGCAGCTAGTTAACTTTGAATAAGACAGCAGAATAGGCCGGAGCATTGGTTCGCGATTGATCAATCCTTCAATCACAGTTCCTGTGAAACGGCCGAGGTAAAACTTGGGCCGAGGTCACATCGGGGGGCCGGGGGTAATCTCCACCAGACTTCTTTTGCGGGGTGAATAAATCGTAGAAATCGGCCTTAAAAGGGTATCAATTGGCCAGAGAAGGTAGCCGGCAAGAGAAGCTCCAGGGCCCTAGGAGACTAGGAAGGCCTAGGAAGGTTTGGCCAGGGTTGGCTGGTGTTCGGCAGTAGGTTGGGATGAAAAAAACAAATTATTCAATCATCATATTTGGTTGATTTTGATCAGTATTTAAGGCCGATAACCTCTGCGGAGGAGGGTTTGGTTTTCAATCTTGTTGGCTTGTGATGTAGACATTTTACAATTATATTAATAGAAAGTTGCCTATTTGGAGTTTCTTTTTACACAACTAGTACTAGTATAGATTCTTGTATTCTTAGCCACATTTGGGATTGTGTTCTTGCCACAAAAGCGCCACCTACATCAGCTGCATATAGCAGCGAGAAACTTAAGTCAGAGTCTATACAGGTTGTGTTGAAAGAAATCCTTAGACTACCCAGTACCTAATTACCAACCAGATAGAACTCTTTCTGTTGCCTGTTTTTGTTATCTGCTCGAGACACATGTACGTGTGTGTGTCACATGTACGTGTGTGTGTCACACTTATATCAATAGGAGTCAGTAGGGGGTTGCCTATTAAGGTGGTTTAATCATCTTCAAGGAACTGTAATTACGCTTATAGCTCTGACTTGTTGTTCACATGGTAAATGGCTTTCGCAGCTGGCATTTCATACATCTGTCAGTATCTATTGTGGTGGAGAACAATTAAGCGTTATGTAGTATTCACCTTAATAGTTATATACAGAGATGAATACGTGAAGTTGTGAATGTGGTTTTTCCCATCAAACAGCCATCAGAGGTAATGGGTACAGTATTTGCGATTTGCTTGGTACATTGCAGGGCTAATACAAGAGTTCCACAATCTCATACCTTCGCCAAATGAGGTTAACCCTTGCGGGTGACGAATTATACAATTTTTAATCATTGATTTTGTAAATAAGAGCCTCATTTGCATGGACTATGTCAGTTGATCATATTCTTCATCCAATGACAGCCTTATCATAACAAAAAGGCTATTTTAGCACTTCCTCATAAATTATGCAAATGAGGTCATGATTTGAATAAATTATGTTTGTTGATGTTCACCTTCACTTAACTTCCAAATGTGGCAAGTATGAAATTCGGGGTGCAGAAGTTACAACTATGAAATTATAAGAATTTTCATTAATTATGCAAATTAGGTCCTCATTTACATAATATATATCCTCAGATGTTTTTCTCGTTCTCAAGTAGATGTCACAAGTGTTTCATAGTTCTATTATCGAACAAAGCAGAGTTATAGAATTTCCTCATTAATTATGCAAATTAGCGCCTGATTTGCATAATTGCCATCTGATCATGTCAAGCATCACTTATACTACTTACATACCAAAAATCACGACAATACGTCAACCGGTTCTTGAGTTATCGTCCTTCAAATTTTTTTCAACAAATGCTCCTGCAGTTCCAGAACAAGGCGCTAGGGGACCCAAACTCATGTCACTTCTTCCCTACCACAAGAGCTATCTACCAACCAAAATTCGTGACCCTAGCATGTCCAGAACATGAGATATCAAAACCGGAAGTTCAGCTGCAGTACCTAGGAAAGCCGCCAGGGGGCCCAAAATCTAATCATTTCTAGGTCTCATGAAGACCTACCCACCTACCAAGTTTCATTCCAATCCATTTACTGCTTCTCGAGTTATCTTGCTAAACCACACACACACAAACACACATACCCACATGCACACAGACAAACGCTACTGAAAACATAACCTTCTTGGCGAAGGTAAAAATACCTGGCACCTCCATATGCAAGTTAGTGCGGGTATACGTAAAATTGGAGGTGTGCACTGTGTGCACCTGCACCTAACCTGCCCCATGTACTTGGGTATGACTGAAGAATTTCTATTTGTGTATTGTCTGGTGCCACCTACATTGTGAATGAAATGGCAAATTCGATGATAACTAGTTTTCTGAACAGTTTTAGTGTGTCCCATATTAAACCCAAAAAGTCTGAGTGGCTTATTCTTTCTTAATAATGTTTTTTCTTTTTGTTGTTGTGCCTTTAGCTTTGAATGTTATTTGTTCTGTTGGCTTTAAAGAGATGTGCTTTTATTAGGCTTCTCTGGAGAAATTTTGAACTTGTAATCTGAAAAGGTAAATTTTAGTTGGAATATATACAAGACTCTTTGGGACACAAAGTGGGAAGGAAAATATTTCCTTTTCTACAGTGTTTTTTTTCTTCAAAATTTAAGCTGGGCTCTCACTAGTAGGGGTGGGTACCGGTTCAGTCGGACCGGTTTGGACCGGAACAACATTCAAGAACCGAGTCCAAAAAAACGAAACGTGAAGATCAAACGTTAAGATGAGCTTGATCATCTTGTACTGGCGAAACGCATAAGAAATGCCAATTTCTCAATACTAGTCATAACGTCAAAGTAGAAGTGCATAAGCAAAACGAGCAAAAAACAAAATGTGCAGCGTGAAATTTTATAGGTGATGTGAACATAACTTTATATTTTCTTCGACATTCAAACTTCCTACGGTACGGTTTGAAACTTAAGTTATCCCCACTATCAAAAGACCTTTCTATTCTTGTACCGCCATGGTGCGATTTTTAAAAAATCTCCAGGCATATTTGATCATATTTCTTTGGGAACAAGGAGAGGCTATCGGCCGCCCGTAGTGGAACCCGTGCAGGACCAACCAACTACAGGAGGCCAATAATACTGAATTGTGTTCTACAGAACTAAGTACAAGTCGCATGGGTACAGAACATGAACATAAACATATACATTACATACATATGAACATATAATGAACTCCCATTGTCCATGAACTAAATCTGCTTCTCATTGGAGTTTACGATTTTGGCACAATCAGTCCTACATGTACGTATACGTCGGTGACCTTACGGCCGTTTCTCGTTCATTCCCTACAAGAACTTGAAGAAGTGTCGTGTCCCGGTAGACTGCTGCTGCTATCAGGCTTCAAGAAGCCGCTGGAAAGAGTAGAAATTGGCCAAATGGCTACTAGTATTTAATTTTCAAAAGAGAGCAGTTTCCCGCTTTCGGACACTGTACCATTACGAGAGGACCAAATCCCCCAACATAATACTATCATCTGTCTATTTGGCCAAATTCCAATCTTTGCAGCCACTTCCCGAGGCCTGGTAGAGGCTAGGTCATCGTGCCAAATACAACCGGTTTGTTTCGGCTGTTGGTACTTTCAAGTGCTTAGTTACGCAACTGATTTACACGTACAAACAGGAGTTGGACGCCGAGCAACGTGGCCGCGTGAGCCCCCAGGTGGGCGGGCCGGAGTGGCCTCATTTCCCACCAATCAGCGCCAAGCATCGTGAATACATTTGCATGTATTCAAAACAGTCACGTTTTCAATGGCGTGAAGGGTAGTGTTGAACAATCGTCGGTAACAAGCAGTTGTTTCCTCGTCGTTTGTGGCGTAATTTCGCGGTTCCTACCGGCGTTTAGGACGAATTATCCGCTCAAACAGCGAGGAAGACCCAATGGAATCGGTGGAAGAATCTACGCTCCTGTCTGTAAGTGTTTTTGCTGTAAAATTGGTCTTTTTCTGTGCGACGTGCTTCGCAGCGTTATCTTCAATGGCGTCGGTGTATCATGCCGCGGAGTTAGGTTGTTTTTTGCAAGTGTATAACGCCTCACGCGAATATTACGATAGATATTTCCTATAGGCTTGAACCTGATGAAATTCCGCAGCGATCTTTGGGTTGTTTTGTCGAATTTTCCCTCGCGATCTCCAGAAATTAGCGATAATGTGCAGGTGATTTTTGTAACGTTTCCGCTAGATTCTGCAGTTCCATGGTGGCCGCTAGGGTCACATGTTTCCAACAGTGGAGGCATTCGTGATGTTGTAATGCCTGACTAAGGAAATGTTTATACATGGACCGTCCAGGCAAATATCTAACCATTTTACTCAGTAGATTGCTAACAAACATCTGTTATAAGTTGCTTTTGCTTTGTTTGAAGGAACTGTGGCATTGTATGATTAAGCTGGAATTATGTAACATGATTTAAGACAAATCCGTACCACCTTAATAGGTCACACCCCCATTTTATGACTGTATCTCTGAACAACAGTTGAAAAACTGTATACATAACAATCTTGTGTGTCTAATAATGCAGGAAATGCTGTAAGTACTATTACTTTCACTACATTTTTGAAGTTGGTAGCAATATTCACTGTACGTCATTATGTAGTAGTTTCTCTTGATGAAGAAGAATTTGTTGTATTTTATCTGGAACTTATGCTAATATACTGTAGCCTGCTTGAGTTTTAACAGGAAGTTTATCCTTTAGGTATTGAGGGTAATTAACCACACACAAGCTACTGTAGACTCATGTAATACAAAATAAATATACTTAATAGGTTAGACATCCAGGTAGAATGGTATGCAAAACAAAATTCTAGGAAATCAAATAGCTGGAAAAATTCTCTGATGCATTGATAATCAGTTAGATATGAAATGACAGACATTCAGATAGCATTCACTGTCTTTCTGTTTCAGAGAATGACATTTTTCAGTTGCTGATGAACGAAAGCAGATTCTATCTAAAGCTAACCTGTAGCACTTCTATTCTAGGGTGGATGTATATAACACTCAGCGGGGAGTCAGCATCATGGACCAGATTTGTGTCAGCCAGGCTGCAATCTGAATCATTATTTCTTTTGAGGGTTCTGATTGAAACAAACTTACAAAAGGATCCCCCAAAACAAAAGCTTGGCTATTGATGTCTGCAGATGGGCATGCTATATATTATACCATATTGTGCCAGTTACCTTATGGCAGTCCTCTGTTGCTATCTCCTCCTAACAATTTACTTTAGTGCTTGAACTTCCAACATGCCAGTTCAAGTTTGGTTCTTCACTGAACCATTATGTTCGATCAATTACTAAAGTACCAATCTCCACCACACTCCTTCAGTCCTTGGCTAGCAGAGGAAATTATTGAAATTGCTATAATTTGCACTGGCAAAAAAAAACAAATTATTCAATCATCATATTTGGTTGATTTTGATCAGTATTTAAGGCCGATAACCTCTGCGGAGGAGGGTTTGGTTTTCAATCTTGTTGGCTTGTGATGTAGACATTTTACAATTATATTAATAGAAAGTTGCCTATTTGGAGTTTCTTTTTACACAACTAGTACTAGTATAGATTCTTGTATTCTTAGCCACATTTGGGATTGTGTTCTTGCCACAAAAGCGCCACCTACATCAGCTACATATAGCAGCGAGAAACTTAAGTCAGAGTCTATAGGGCTTATTCACCACCGATTGTCACGTGACTCTTCCCCCCGGCAGCGAGCATTGTCCGCCATTAGGGGGTGCAGTATGGTGCCTATCGCTATGGTACGCTATGCAAACTCTTGGCGATAGTTGCGTATTTTGGGCCACAATCTACGTTTTGAACACTCTTCTTGTTAGTAACATTGTCATTGGGGTTGTTCTGGCTCCATGTCCACGTCTCATGTTCTCAAGATCGGCTTTTATCTTTTTTTGCTGATCAGAAATCGGTGTGTTTTACCCTGGCGCGGCGTACGGGGCTGTACATGTACATGTAGATGGCAACGTGGGTAGCCATGAACACGGTAAAAAGCTACATGTGTACTTGTCCCTTTACTCTGTGGTAAATGTCCATGTAGAACAGGGCGCTGACAACTTGCAACACTCACCTTGTCCAGCCACAGTCGCGGCAGTGCGGACTGAGGAAGGCGGCCGATGGCCCCCGCAGCCTTTGCTTGTTATTATCCAGACACAGTCCGGGGCTGTTCCAAAATAGCGACTTTTTGCGTTTCCCGACTGCAACGTACTTGTCACCACGCAACTGCCCCACAACACTGAGGCTCTACACATCCTGATACAATGCTTCCAGACTCTTAAAGGGTTTAAACCGATCCTGTGTGTAAAAACTTCTGCCCAGTACCAAATACGAAGCGAAGTCACGTCAATGGACTCCGCTGACAGTAGACGCCGTCTCGATCAGACTGATCAAAACTCAACAAAAACGGGTCAATCCCGACAGATTTTATTTTGTTCCAGTAACGAGAGGTATGAGTGGTGGTAAACTCTTCGTTTAATAGGACAAAGGACAGTTTACCTAACGTTTGTCGGCCATTTCAACGCTTGGAAACTCGCTGTAGAGATGCACCCCAAAATGGCGTCGCACGGGACATGGGGGGTCGTGACGTCATGATGACGTGTGGTGAATAAGCTCTATACAGGTTGTGTTGAAAGAAATCCTTAGACTACCCAGTACCTAAGTACCAACCAGATAGAACTCTTTCTGTTGCCTGTTTTTGTTATCTGCTCGAACAAAAGAGACACATGCACGTGTGTGTGTCACACCTATAGGAGTCAGTAGGGGGTTGACTATTAAGGTGGTTTAATCATCTTCAAGGAACTGTAATTACGCTTATAGCTCTGACTTGTTGTTCACATGGTAAATGGCTTTTGCAGCTGGCTTTTCATACATCTGTCAGTATCTATTGTGGTGGAGAACAATTAAGCGTCATGCCCGTAGCCAGGATTTTGAATGGGGGGGTTCTTTCCACTGCTTGAGGGGACCTTGAGCGCCGTAGGCGCGAGGCGAGTGCCGAAGGCGCGAGGTTCCTAGGGGGGTCCGGGGGCATGCCCCCCCGGAAAATTTTGAAAAATGAACCTTCTAAAATGGCATTTCATGCATTTTTGAGAGGATTTCCACGAGAAAATCAGAGATGAATTTTTATTCAATGACAAAGGGAGCAGTTTTTCTACGATTTTAGTCCATTTTTTCAAGAAAAATCTCGGACCTTTACATAAAATGTGGACCAAAAAGTGGACCTTTACAGAAAATGTGGACCAAAAAGTGGACCTTGACATAAAAAGTGGACCAAAAAGTGGACCTTTGAGCCTTGTGGGGGGTTCTTTCGAACCCCCCGAACCCCCCCTGGCTACGGGGCATGAGCGCTATGTAGTATTCACCTTAATAGTTATATACAGAGATGAATACGTGAAGTTGTGAATGTGGTTTTTCCCATCAAACAGCCATCAGACGTAATGGGTACAGTATTTGCGATTTGCTTGGTACATTGCAGGGCTAATAAAATACCTGGCACCTCCATATGCAAGTTAGTGCGGGTAAAATTGGAGGTGTGCACTGTGTGCACCTGCACCTAACCTGCCCCATGTACTTGGGTATGACTGAGGAATTCTATATGTGTATTGTCTGGTGCCACCTACATTGTGAATGAAATGGCAAATTCGATGATAACTTACTAGTTTTCTGAACAGTTTTAGTGTGTCCCATAACCCAAAAAGTCTGAGTGGCTTATTCTTTCGTAATAATTTTTTGTCTTTTTTTTTTCTGTGCCTTTAGCTTTGAATGTTATTTGTTCTGTTGGCTTTAAAGAGATATGCTTTAGCCTAGGCTTCTCTGGAGAAATTTTGAACTTATAAGTTATATTATAATCTGAAATGGTAAATTTTAGTTGGAATATATACAAGACTCTTTGGGACACAAAGTGGGAAGGACAATATTTCCTTTTCTACAGTGTTTTTTCTTCTTCAAAATTTAAGCTGGGCTCTCACTGTTGTTTTTGCATAAAGATCCTTATAAAATATGGTTTTTAGTCTGTTTAAATGTTAGACAATTGTTTCTGTAGAAAATGTTTATATTACATCAATTGCCAACACAATTTTGTGCATCATTATATTACTAAAAAACAGGGCAGTATTTGACATCAATCAAAATATGTGTTCTTCTAAAAAGTTACACCACAAATTACAGATATCTGTTATGCCCTAACCGTCTTGCCCTTCCACCTTTTCCCTCTGATGTAGTCACATGCACAACCATGCATTGTAACTTGTCATTGCAACTGTTAACAGTGCCTCCTATTGAAAGTCGATTGAACTGCAGTCTTTCTGCTATGCCATTGCTGTGACACCGTCTTAATATTACTCCCTTCCCTTCCCTCCAACAGGGCAGGAATATGTATTCTTTTATTGTAGTTCTTGGCCTTTTCTGCATTTGGCTCTTCTAGTTCTAGAACTAGTAACACTAACAGTAGGTAGCAATTAATCTACCACATATACAACATTTTTTAGAACTAGAAGAGCCAAATGGTACCAAGAGGCTGGTTCAAAAATTAAACAATGAATTTTGAACTTTTAATGATACCATTGCATTGGAATATGTAATAACTGTAACAACTAGGAAGAAAAGAACTGTTTTCAACTGTTCAGGGCAAAATATGAGCATTTTGCAGTTGATTCTGAATTTTTTTGTTGCAAAATCAGAAAAAAATGAAGCGGACGAATCCGTTAACCAAACAAATTAAATTGGTGTGGCCTTACAGGCCTAACTACTATACTAGCACTTCAATAGACCGAGAAGACCAGGTGGCCACAGTCAGGCAACGGACTAATCCACTTTTCCTGTCTGCTTAGTAATGAGCGCTGCCAAACGTTATGTAACATGCCGCGTACACGTGAGCATGTTGCACGTTGCTTCCTGAAATTCGAGATTCGGTAAATCACG